CACCATGAGGTGAGTGAAAATCTTTTGAAATGCATTGAAGCAGTTTGCTATTTTCACATAGTTACCCTGCCAGCCTTAATATGCAAAACTGCCACTGAATTCCAGATGGCAAGATATTGCCGCACAAGCTGGCTGTGCTGCATAAAGACGGTTTCACCCTATTTGCAAATAGGCAGAATTAAAGTTGACCATTCAGCCTGAACTGCTAGGATTTCCTGCATGAGTGCTTGGTTTCTGAAGCTTAAGACCGCACTACAGTAGTACGGTGCTTTAGTATAACATTTAGTTGATGGGTATGACTATTCAATAATAAATATAAAAATAATTATGTTAACAATAAAGCAAATTTATTAAGCATGTGCATATTCATAGTGTTCAATATACACATTAAATATGCAAGTTATATAATTTGTATGACTGAGCAGCCTTCTAAAACAACTGCATGAGACTAATGGAAATTTGGTATTATTCAAGCCATTTCTGTGTGAATGTAACAAAGCAGACATTTTAGAAATATCCTATTGCGTTTTGGTTATCACAGTCTAGTTTCACAGTACAATATAAGCTTTTCAGCCTGTGAAATCCATTAATAACCACATTAAACCTTCCCATATTGTATGAATTGTCAGGTTTAAATGATTCTTTTTTTAAAACAATTATCTGTCTCATGCTTCTTGCAGTTTGTTAAAATGCTATGTCAATTTACAAAGACTGGGGGAATTTGACACAGAAATTTTAGAGGGGGAAGGAACTAATCATTGGTTTACCTAGCATGAGTGCTCAAGTGCACATGAAGAAAATGAACATTGATTCAAAATATAAATGAAAAATTCTATTCATGAGTGGAATTGCCAGAGTTTAACTTGAAAAACCTTTGCTTCTCAAGTTCTCAGGAAAGTAAAAACTGTTGGTAAACTTGTTAATAGATATAATGTTTAAGCAGTTTCAAACAAATGGCAATGTATGTATTTTACAGGACTAGTTAGCACTTACGGAATGCAGTTCTGCATTGAAATAGATGAGGAACAATGCTGTCTTCTGGTAGTTTTTAGGGTGCAGCCTTGAAGTGTTTGTGCTATGACTCAGAATCCCAATGCAGTGAACTCTTGTATCCTTTTGGTGTAATATTGTGCTTCTGCTACAGAGATACACTCCTTGGGTTAAATATCTTCCCCCTAATGCCTAAAATAAAACGAAGATGTAACTATGCTCCTCCATGCTTCTAATCTTTAGTAGCCTGCAAGGTCTGTGAGTCTATTCTTTTTCCTTTTGTGGGTTAAACAAGAGACTCCATTCCTTCCCCTACAATGTATGTAAATGCAGAGGACACTGAAGTCTAAGTCAGTGAATGTAGAATATTTCTGCCTTAACCTCTTACCTGTGTGCCTGAGCAAAGAACTGTTTTAATGCAAATCTGAAATAAACTGTGTGACACGGCAACTAGGTTAGGAGCCCATTGTGCTGCCTTCTGTATAAATATGTAATAGTCGTCAGAGACTGTCCCAAAGTACTTTAATGGTCAAGACAGAATGGAGCAGATCATCACCATTTTACAGGTGAAGAATTGAGGCATAGGGAGAACAGCCAAACTTGCAGGTATGCCTACAACTTTTGGACTCCTGACTAAAAAGTCGAGAACAGCTGAAACCGATGAGCAACTAACATGAAATAAGTCCTATTAGAATTATCTAAGAGGAGGAATCTAAAGCATGGGTTGCCTTTGAAAATACAGCACTGAAGACTAAGGGCAGTTACTAAAAAAAATTTCAAAACTGCCTAAGGTTGGTTACCTACCACCTCTAAAAAGTCAAGCCATAAGCAATTTATCCAGGATCACGCAGTCTGTCTCTCAAAGCAAAGCCCCTTCACTGGCATTACTATCTTTTGCGTTATTTGCAGAAATACTTTTCTAGTAGTAAAAAAAAATCTGAACATTGTTTGGAAGGAAATCTTTGGTGCTAGAGATTCTCTGGCATCTGGCTGACTTTGTATTGCTATTCTGTTACTGGTAGCCTGGTTCCATCTTCTCTGTAAAATTTACGGTATTGAAAGATCTGTCTTCAGACATTTTCAAGACAAAAAGAACCATAGAAGGGCCAAACCCTGTAACTACAACATCCCTCACAAATGCACACATCTTGTCATCTGGGAATCCCTTTAATGTTTTGAAGTGATCTGCAATAATACACCAATGATATGTGACAGTACTAGCAGAAGCTTCCATCATGTTATTCATAGGAAAATTTAAGGAGGGAATGTAAAGAATGTAACCTGTTGAATGTATTGCTTTTCAGGTGTTCAAAGCTATGAATATTCCTCAGATCAGAAGCCCTTCCTTACCTCCTCTAGAAGATATGCCTGAAGCCTATCATGTGAAGATAGCTCTTCTTGGTGCAGGTCCTGCAAGTTTGAGTTGTGCTTCCTTTTTGGCTCGATTGGGCTATTCAAACATCACCATATTTGAAAAGCAGGAGTACGTTGGTGGCTTAAGGTAAAAATCAATGACAACAAAGAACTTTTTCCAATGATTGTGGAAAGCATAGCAAAAATATTGTGCAAACATAGTTTATACATGATCCCTCTACCTTTACCAAAGGAAGAGAATTGAAAATTTCAGATCTGGAAAACTTATTTTATATTTAAATAATTCATCATTCACATTAAAATAGGTACAGTTACAGGTAAGCTTTTACTGAAAATCTGGTGGCTATATCTCATATTCTCTTCATATGACCTCTAAAATTCCAGGGTGCAATAGCTATTATCAAATTTACACTTCAGAAAATTATGTCAGGAACCATTTTCCCTTATCCAAAGCTTAAAACAAGGTGAAGTACTTGTAGCCCTACATAGTGAAGGAATTGGTAGATGTTTAAAATGCTTTAGACAGATACTCATTTCATGGAGAATTTTAAGTTTGGAATGCTTCTATGAACTACCTTATGCAAATAAAGGTGACAGTGAATAAATCCATCATGTATGCCTGGACTTGCAGCTTTGGTAAACAATGCCACAACAGTGAAAAAAAAAAAAACCAAACCCTAGAATTCTCAACCTTCAACAAATTGCAGATGCACACAGGAAGGTACCTTTGCAGTTTTTCTATATGGTATATACTTGGCTGATATTTACATGGTGTCATGTCCTCTACCCTAGAAGATAAATTTTTACCACTGTGACAATGGCTGAAATTATATCTTGTAAGTTTGTTGGAATCCCTAAGTATAAGAAAATATTTCAGAAACTGACTAGTGGACACCAACCCATTCAAAATCAAAATTAAATTGTACATGTTGAAGATGTACTCATGCTAAAGTGTTTATGAAATAAGAAGTTAAAAGAAACAGAGAAATGTGACACGCTCACATTTCTCATTGCAGCATCACTGAAATCAATAGAGTTGACACCATTAATGAATTTGATCCATAATGTCATAATGTCAAATACTTACTCAGTGCTCTGGAAGATAGAGAATCAATGCTAGAGGAGTTGAACTGATTACTTGCATTTTTCCCAGTGAGGTTCAGAAGTATTCTACCTAATTATCAAGGTGTTAATAGATAGGCATTTAACTGTGGAGCTGCTTTACTTGAACTGGTTGCCATAGAGGATTGCAAATTTAGTATATGAAATACCTATTCACCTGTTGAGTAGCACATGTTTCCATACAAACCAGATTTAAAATCAGTTTTGTTGCTGTAAAGTAGTAAGAAATAGTGAGAAGTTTCTAACAAGGAAGCTTTACTTGGTGTCAGGTTAGACTCAGGTTGGACTCAGCAGTATAATACGGTACCTTCTGCAGTTGCTTACTGTGTCCATCTGTATTTGAAGCAATGTGATTTTTAAGTTGTGTCTGTTCTTCATTATTTTAAGTTGAATTTAAAATAAAGCTTAGTCTGTTTGTTCTACTGCAAAAAGCCTTACACTAAGTTTTGCCTCTTCTGTTAGTACCCTTAATGGTCAAGTGGTGCATTTTAAAACATTTCTTTCTTTTGAGTCTTAAAGAACACACAGCAATCAAGATCAAATTTTACTTCCATTCATTGTAGTTTCACATCTGGTTTAAGGGCATCAATTCCTTTCGTCCTTATTTTAATCTTGGAGCAGAAGGGAGGCTGGCCTGTGGCAGCAATCATCCATTATTGCATTTGTAAGTCTTTGCAGTACATCGCTTAACAAGTTTAGGTTATTGATGGGTGTGTTTTCAAGGCTTCATAAACTATTGCAAATGGCTTTCAAGACCAAATGAATTTTGTATTTGGAATCAGCTGTTTGGAAGGGCAGTGCTTGTGCCCTTTTTTTAGTTTGCTCTGCCTTTTTTAAACTGTTTTTAACTACGATGCTCCTTCACATACATGTCATGTCATAGCTGATTAATAATATTGCGACAATAGAAAGGTGTCTAGTGATTGCAGTTCCTGTGGTGTGGTATTTAACATGGCATAAGTCTGTGGTTGTCTGAACATATCTGAATTTTTTACATTCACAGGCAAGTTTTCCTACATTTCACCAGTTGCGTAAAATTTATGCTTTATAGTAGAATAGGCATGAGCAGATCCCACTCTTGCTTAGAGACCATGAACAAGATTCACTGGTCATGCTTCTAGCTATGCCACTAGATTAAAACACACCAAAATATTTCTCTCACTAGGCCAGAAGGGTGTCCCTTGAGCAAAAGTAATTTGGGATCACTGAGAAACACCAAGCACCTGTCCGAGCACCTCTAACTTGGCTCAGATTTGAGGAAGAGGATAATTTGTGGGACACTGCTCCCATCCACTGCATCCTTCCTGCACCTCTGCCCCGTTTCCTTCTACCCCTCTGTCTCTCCATTGTAGAGTCAGAGATTGTCATCTGCTACTGAAAGAAACTCTATCAGAATTATTGATGTACTGGTTGACTTCCATAAAATGCTTAATTTCATGGTAAATGTGCATGCGTATGTCCCCACAGAACTGTGTGTGTTTCCATATATGTGGGCATGCTCCGCAGCACAAAACTGTAAGTAAATGTTAATAAGAGCCATGATTGTTTACAAATTCTGACAGTGACATAATGCAGCCAGTGCTGTTCCGGGATTATGTCATGGAAATGACAGGCTGTCAACAAATGTATAGATGACTGGGAAAATGGAACTTCCCTTTTTTTTTTTTAATTAAATTTCTTTATTGAATCTCTGTTGCAGAATCATATTGATATATTAGTTTCTGCCTCGGACACCTTTTTACTTAGCATGACCTATGAACGTTGTGTTGTCATGACATGTTCATTATATCTGATATTTAGAACACTTTTCATTGCACACTGGCCAGGAAAGGTGAAAAAAGGGCAGCATTAAAAATGATAAGGAGGAACACCAGTTCTTATCAATATAATTAAAGTTGATGTAACTTAAAATAAATAAAACCATTCTGGCCTGTCAAAGGTAGATGTTAAAGATAGTGTGGTCACTAACAATATGTAAAATAAAGCCACAGTGAATCTCTTGTGCCAGTGCTTTGTTATGGAAATTATAGGTCCATTAACTTGAAAACAGATTAGACTGTTTGAAAATTAGGAATGTCTGGGGAGGGACTTTAACTTTTCTGCATATTCAGGTTTATTTATCTTCGTTGGAAAAAATATCTAAAATAGAACTTCACTGTGTTTACCTGTAATGTGTTTTATGGCAGAGATTTTAAACTAGCCTAAGTTGATGTCATTTCATTGGAGATAAAGAGCTGTACCAGTAGATATAAAGTGAGATTCTATGCTGGCACTGCAGTTTTCCCATACAGGAGATCTGTGATTTTGGAAACTTGAAGATGTCATTCCTAATCTTCCCCAGGAGAAAAAAAGGCCAGCTAATAAACATTAAGTCAAAAAGCAGGCTTGAGGCCAAGAGCTGATAGAAAATTACTGACTTTGTCCATCCTGAAAGATTAAAGAAATTTACGGAGGAGGTACAGTTTTGAATACCGTTGCACAAAATAGCATGTGCAGCACTTTTTAAAAAAGCGTATGGGAAAGTTGATTCTTTCTTATTGGATAGCTTAATGAATGGTTGCTAGAAGATCAGTTTGCTTTTAGTAGCCATGAGATCTTTTCTTAAATGGATGTTTTTAAGTTTGTTTAGTGTTACATATTCTGGTGAACAAAAGGAATGGAGCTGAAGATCTTTTGGGCCCAAGCTTAACATGTGTTAAATGGTTGCCGACAAGAGTGGGCAGGATTGGCCTCAAGGTACTACCTTCCTTGCCTGTATCTTTAGTATTGGTTGAATAATGGTGTTTTGTCACTCTACCAATTTAAAAAAGCTGGTGTTCAAGCTTCAGCACATTTCCATTCGTGTATGTCAAAATTAACTAAGGTGCGTTATAAGTATTGAATTTTTAACAAATAAAAAAATCCTTTCTTCCCAACAGCTGGAAGTATATCACAAACATTTTTATTTATTTTAGTACATCTGAAATCCCCCAGTTCCGATTGCCGTATGACGTAGTGAATTTTGAAGCTGAGCTTATGAAAGATCTTGGAGTGAAGGTAATGAAAAATATTTCCTGCCTATGTATAGCTCAAAGAAAAAAGAGCAAGAACTCTGGCAAAGATTAACAGCAAAATGTCATGCACATTAGTAAAGAACGATTAAAAGCTACGCTAGACAGAGGCAGGAAGATGCTTCCTCTTGCTCAGAGCATTTGTCTGTCTCCTGTCTGAATGCCACTAGTTTGGAAAAGGGCAATCAATAGTTCTCATCTAGCATGCCTGCATGTGATTAATTGTCTGTAAGAAACAAATTCCTAAATTGCTTTAGGGGTTCAATGTAGCTATTGGAATGATTTGATTTTTTTTAATTGAGTTTTTTCCATGCAAGTTTGGCACTACTTAAAACATTCATATTTGATACTTCTCCTTTTGTTCCCTCTCCCTGAGTTTTTTCTTAATGGTTTATCATACAGTCTTGCATCCAAGTTAATTTTATAATAAAATGCATCAAATTGAACTTGATCATCTATTATAAACAATAACAGTCATTCAACTTCTTGGAAAGTAACAGTTACACATTATTCTGTTAAACAAATGTGTGTTGTTTATGGATAATGGGAACATTGCTTTATTGTTAATTTAGGGCTTGAGCTGAAGATTTAAATAGTATTCACAACTGATGTACATTGTAATAGGAGTTACAAGTGTAGAATGCATCACTGAATCGAATTTTTGAGTACCAGGAGGGATAATATATTTTAACATAATATTAAAATATTCAGTGAAGCAAGAAATTCTTCTTGGAATCTTTTGTGTTGGTTCATATTCTAAAAGCAGTAAACTGTTGACACAAGACCCGAGTTTGAACCTCATCCTGCCCAGGTTTTACAAAAATGCTGGTAAGATGTAAAAGAAGGCTTTAAATGCTACAGGTCTATTTTTCTACTGTAAAGATCCCTCTGCAACCCTAGAAAAGACTGACAGCATGGAGGCTGAGTTAGGGATGGGGCTAAAAACAGAGCACTGAGACAGTTTTAGACAAAATTGCTGGGCATAGGCTCCTGGGAACCCTCTGCAAAACTCGGTTATGACAAGAATGATAGAGCCACCATGTCATCTTGACCTGCAAGTCCTCTGTGAAGTGCAGCAGGGAATCTCAATGTAAATTTCCTTCCATGCTCTGCCGTTGGTTTCAACTGACCCTTTGGCACGCTGGTTAACTAAGTACCTTGGCTTTATACCTCTGTAAGCTGGAAGTATTTTCTGGTATTTACTTAAAGCATTTCAAATCTGTGGTGGAAGGTGCTGTATTGTGTAAATGCTCAGTAGTGCTGTTTATTCAAGTAATTCTACTGAAATTAGTAAGAATTAGTCAGCTGAATAAGGATTACATAGCTAGGCCCTAGGAGTATTATGAATCCTCACATAAAATAGTACTGCCATTTAAATTCCTTCATTAGGTTTTCATAACATATGTACACAATAGGGTAAAAAAAATGTAATGAAACTTATGGAATGTATTTTGTTGCCAATGAGGATGCAGTGTGTATTCTTGAAAGGATTATAACTGTACATGGCTTTTGCACCTCTGACAAAATTTATACTAAATCTCTAAAGACAAAAAAGTTCGTGTTTTAAGTATTGTACAATGTTTTTTACATCTGCCTTTTTTTTTTTTTCACCAATTGGAAAAGTATATTAAATGGAATATAGGCAGATTCAAAACCAAACAAGATATACAGTGACATGAAGGCTAAACTTAAGATCACAAAGTATAGTGCTGACACAACAGAGCATGGCATTTTGTAAAGCGACTACACAAGTGATATAACAAAAGCTGGGAGGAAACATCAAGTTCAGAGGGTCTAAAGTATGGAGATAAAACCACACATATCCATGTCAAGAAGTGCAAAATATCAGAAGAGGAATCACACACACTTTATGCGCTGAAAAGCCTTGGGGTTAGAAGAGATGAACAAAAGGTGTGTGTATCTTCAATTGCATGACCTCCACACAGGAGACTGCTATAGTTGGTTTGCTGAACACGCAGCAAATACTGTTCCCTGTCTCACTCTTACAACTGTAGTCGCTCAACCTGTACAGTAGCTGCTCAAAGCAGGATTGCTGGTGGAACACATTACTCTATAATTTGCTTCTGGAAGTGTGTAGTAGTTGAAATGAAACAAGAATAGATTATAGTGCATTTTATTACTGTGACTTATTTCTTTCAATAAGTGAACACCAATCACTGCACTCTGGGCATTGTTGCTTGTCTAAATTAGAATTAACAATTGAAAGTTTAAATCAAAACTGATCTCATTCGTAATTTTGGAAAACTTTGTTTGTTTACCACGCAGAACAGTCTGCTTCATTCCGAGCAAGCAGGGCACAGAACGTTCTTCAGACTTACTGCCATCTCTGGACCAGTCTTTTGCAGACAGGTTTTCTGAATCCACAGAAGTGCTGTGGGTTTTTGGCATAAAGGTATTCTAGCTAGTCATCTCGGTGCAAAATTCAGGCTGTGAGCTTTGAGAATGCAGCACAAAGCAATGCCATCCTTCCTTTGGGACTGGCATTGCATTCTGCACAGTTGGAGGCCTACCCAGTGTGTCCTGGCTTGACTGGGACAGAATCCCAGCCCAGCCATGCCGGGCAGGCCATCAGCAGGTTCAAGCCAGCCAGGGCAGCTGACCTGAGTGAGCTACAGCTGTAGCCCATCCCATAATGTCATGGTCATTACAAAGTGGGAAGGTTTGCTGAGAAGACGGGAGCTCTTGTGGGGTTCTTCCCACAGTTCCTCCTGTTGCTCCTCTGGCTTCTTCTTGCTCCTGAGGACTGCTCTCCTGTCAGTTGTGATGACCAGATATTCGTTTGGCTGAGCACAGCTTTGTACACCTTTGTTAGTATTAGTGCAGTTTCATTAAATCTAATTTCACTTCAATCCATGGGTCTGCTCTCCTTTTCCTGATTCCCCTCTCTGGCTGATGAGGCGTTGTTGAGTGACAGAGCGACTGTTAGTTTCATGCCAGGTACAGGCTAAATGTAGACACTAGTGCCTGATACTCTGCAGGAAAACATTGCTTGGTTTTCTGTTCAGGACCCTTGTTAATACAGGATAGTGTCATGTCTCTTCTTTATTTCTCTATAAGAGGCTCATGCTTTCTCTAACGTTTCTGCAATAACCTAAACTGCTTGTTTTTTGGTTGGTGTGCTGGGTGATCTGTTTAGTGCTATTGCCTCAAGCAGGTTCTTGCTTCCACATCATGTTTCTCACATTCTGATTTTCACATGGGAGTACAACCTTTTGTAGTCAGCACTGAGTACGGCGATTTTCCTGCAGTAGAAAACTGCCATTTTCAGCTTTGCTTCAGTATTGTGTTCCATAGACAGGCTTTGTTTGTTTAGCTTGCTTTAACTCTTTTAGCTTACAGCAGAAACTGAGCTAGCATGCGGTGGCCCCCATCTGAAGATGATCTGAAGGTACTTTTTACCCATATCTAGTTTGGGCCACTTGCTTAAATCAGAGCCTATTAGCCCTTTTAAGCCTGGCTTGGGGAGGGGGGGAAATTAATTTGCTTTGTTTGTTCACGAGAAGATCCTGCAAGAAGTCTGAATGCAGGATGCAATAGAAATTATTTTCACATTGTCACATTAAAAGCAAGTAATCTTTAATTTTTTTTCCAGATAATTTTTGGTAAAGGCCTTGCAATGGATGGAATGATGCTCCATACCTTGAAAAAAGATGGCTATGAAGTGGTCTTTATTGGGATAGGTAAGAAGAGCTCACTCTCCCGTGTTTTGTCAGTGTGAATGACTGTCTAAGAATAAACTGGACTTGTACCTGTATTAATAGCGTGATGCGAGACAGCTTCAGTTTGATGCATTATGAAAGTATGGAATATAAAGAAAATTTAAAAACCAGGAAGCTAAAGCTAGCAGTCTTAAAACAGTTATTTGTTAAAATTTTCACTTTTATATGATAGATTTTTAAGTAAGAGAACAATGTAGCTGAATGGGTTGATTTATTGTTTGTTTAAATACTTTAAAAATGGATGAACTAAAACCTTACTTGTAATTAATTGCCATATTGGCCTAGAGTGATAACATGAGTTCAGTTTTCAATTTTTGCAGACAGCTTACTGTACTGACATAATTACTGAGTCTGTATGTAAGCTGGTGATACCATGCTTGGTTGCTTTTTTTCTTTCCTCCATATAAAACATGTAGCATTCTTCAGATAGGCTGTAGCGAAATGTAATTATAGGATGGGTTAACAAAATAAGCTGACTTTGACTTATACTAAAACTGGCATCATAGGTCTGTCTTCTTTCATATGCTAAAGAAGTCCTGCACCTGCCTGCTATTTGAATCATTGTTTCTTTTTAATGTTAGATTAGAATTGTTATCCATTTACAAGTATTTTGAAGTACAGCTGGACCCATCGCTACCATATGATAGGCATGTTGAGCAGGCATCGTCTACAGTTGGTATGAGGCTTAATGCTCTTTATTGATCTAGACGTTGCCTAAGTGAACATAATAGGAAACAAGTTGTCCAACTGTTCCTCCTTCCTATTATTGATTACAGAGATGTAATTCTTAGTACAGCGACAACTGTTGTTTACCATCTGGTTATGCAGTATAATAAGCTTTGCAGGTCTATTCTGTTGTGTGATTATAATACAGAGCATTGTGATTTATATAATCCTAAACTCTCACATTGTTAGAGACCTTCCATGTATAGGAATTCTGATGTATCATATTTTGATGTAATTGTATACAAGGCAATGGTCCAACTTACCTTCTTTATTGTTTTCATCTACGTTTTTCAAACTGCTTTGTGAAATCTCACAAATGAGGGATTAATTCATAAATAAACAATGTTTTCTGAGAGTCTAGCATTTAGGAAAAAATTATCAGTCATTTTTGGAATATCAGCATGATTCCCTTGCACTTCTGACTCAGAAATTTAAAATAACAGTTCAGCTAAAGGTTAGCAAAAATGACCACTGAGCACTATACATAGGGTTGGAATGTTTTTTTTTTCTGTATATGGGTTTATTTTCTGACCTTAATAAAGTTATCCTAATAAAAATAGTTTTGGTTAGAAATATATATGTAGACAGCATTGTGCTGTACAGATGCTGGGTAAAGGGACACGGCCAGAATTTTAATAAACAAGAGAAGGTATCTGAAGCATAATTCTCCTGTAAACCATGTGTTCACTGAGTGTATTAGGAAACAGAGGGTATATATGCTAATGAAGGATTATGTGTTCCTACAAAGTTTTGTTATTTGAAGCTACCTTGCATTCATGATGAAGTTGGTCCCTCTGTATACCCCTATGTCTGCCTGTCATCTCTCTTACAGTTCTGTGTAAGACATTGGACAGTAATGTGGCCTTCCGTACTGGTGGTGAAAGACAGAAGACAAACCAAGGGGTTACAGATTTCTAGGGTTAGCTATAGTAGTGCAATAGAGCATTTATAAACTCTCAACAACAGCAGCTTTTCCATAATGAGTCTGTATTGTATTTCTTTTTGCATTCTTTGCCTACTGAACAAACATATTCAATGAAATGTCACATTTGAACATTACCCTGAATCGTGGGAGCAAAATAATTAGAGAACTACTTACATTAAATAGTTTGGGGTTGTTTTTTTTAAAGGTTGTTGTAATCTGCTTCTGAATGAATATGTACCTTGATGGAAAATAAACATGCTAGTTTTCAATTTTCCCTGTTAGTGGAAGATAGAAAGTGTGAATGGACGCATAAAAGAAGATTAAGTCCCTGATGGGGCGAGGGAGTACACTTGTAAGAGAAATTATTCATAGGAATGTGATTTTTGAAGAGCACACCTTTAGTCTTGCAAATGAGATGTAACTCGAGAATTTATCTGTCAGGTTTGTACAAAAGTCCATGAGTGATTTGTGAAATGGAAGAGCACTTGTAAATAGCGAGCTACATGAGGGCAGGAGGACATGCAAAGAGAACTTTGAAAGCTATTTTCCACACAGTTATGCATCAGGAAAAATCTTTTGCTCTGTGGGAATGCCTGTGTGATTTTAAGTACTCAACTGGATCCGTGAAAGGTAAAGCGTAGGAGGCTGAGGTTTGATCACTTCTAGCAAGTGACCATATTGAAGAAAAATGAATAGCAGAGACTTTTTGTCAGAGCTGTTTGGAAAGGTATTAAAAGTGTACTGTGGTCAGTGTGTTTGCTCTGTTTCACACCTGAAGGGTAAAGAATTCCTAAGAAGTTCGCAAAGGAATACAGGTTAACAGCCTTACTCTAAAATAAATAATAATAAAAAAAGATGCTTAGCTTCAAGTCTGCTTACTGAGGCATTGAGGCTATGATGATTTATCTTAAGGTGAAAGACTCTCTCCAGCCAGTAGTTCTGGTGCATTTAAATCACTGTTTAAAGCTCAGAAAAACACCTTGTGCAGGACCTGAAAATGAACAGATGGCCCACGTATGTCACCAACTTCTGGCAACTTCTGGGATCTGAATTTGAGTCACACCTTACCTCCACACTATTTTATGTCACACCATCTTTCCCAATTAGGCTGTGGCTGTGTGTATAATGTTGTAGAGTGGAATGTAATGTAATGTGGAATTTGGGGTTGCAAAGACTTGCGTTGGACTGGCAAAGACTAGGTCCAAGGAAAATCTTTCATAGTTACCTGGGTAAGCGGTAGTGATAGAGATCAATCTGGGCAATGGCGTGCTGGAAGCCAACATTGCCCTCTGACAGCAGAACCTCAGACCAAATGGTAGGTGAATCTCAGTCACAGGGTTGCCTGCTAACTTTTTTCTTTTGGTAATTATTTTCTTCAATCTGTTTTTTCGCCTTATTTGAATTGTGTTTCATCCAACTGGTTCTTAGTGCTGTACTACTGTTTATTTCTAAACGATAAATATGTGAATTGCCTGCTCTCCGTCCATCATTTATTCTCATGTCCTCTCAGTTTCCTCTCTACAAAGATGTGTATTTTGCAACATCTGGCAGCAGATGTATCTTGTGTTTTGCATACAAGGACCCAAGAGATAGACCATTCTTCTGTTTTTCTGCAGCAGCCCTGATTTCAGATTACAGCTAATACAAGCATTAAAGGGTAGACCATGAATCTCAGTTTCTTACATCAAAAGTAATGATAGACAATAGCACACATGAGAATTTTTTTCACAGGACTAGAAAGCAGCAGCTAAACAAAGGGAGGAACAACCTGATAAATACGTTCTGGGAGTCTCTACTGTATTTTGTAGTTCTCTTTTCATTGTCATTTAGTTTGGTACAATTTTTGAACTACTTCAGACTTAGTTCAATGGGCAATTAAAAATGCTGATTAAGAATTAGAGCTGTAGAATTAGAGTCCTTAAAATTTTCATTTTAAAATACCATTTATCTTCCAGTTACAAATGTTTTGGGGTTTTTTTCTTATTCACAAATGTTAATGAATAGGAATTAAATCTCCCAACTGAACTTTCAAAGTGTTAAAACCAAAATCTAAAAATATGCATAGAAAAAAAGATTCTTTCCAGTTCTGATAGATTATACTCAACATACTCTACCTGGAATCAGCTCTGCTTTTGGCTAAGAAATGTTGGTGAAGAATTTGTGATTGAGCTGACAAATCAGTTTGAAAATTTTGCTATTTAAAAAAAAAAAAGTCTTGCATCAGTTGCTGCCTTCTGTAAACACTATAGAGACTCGGGGCAATAGAGAATTGACATGCTGAGAGCAAAAAGAGAAATCAATGATGGGGTGAGGGGCTAGAGGAGAGAGCACACGGTCCTCAGAGACAGCAAAGTAAGGCAGCAAAGGGTATCTTATGGAGAGTAGTCTGAACGCTTTATGTTACTCTGTCTCTTGGTTGATTTTCAGGGTAGAATACTTATGGGTTTTTTTAAAAAAAATGTCTATGTGTGTCAGTCTCCCTTGGCTATCAGAGAAAATGCAGAAATACTAGGCTTTTATTACTCATCCTCCTTGAGGTTCAGATACATTCTTTGGAAAACAGGATTATGTGGTTCTGTCTTTTAAGATGCCACAAAGCATTGTATATTCTTTTTGAAAGACAAAATACAAACCAGTTATTTTATACAAATATTTAATTGAATGAAGGTGAATGACAAATATTTTAAAGTATTTAAGGACGTTTCATGTGACATTCAGACAAATGTGTAGAAAGGCTATCATTATAAACGTATTTTCTGTAGACTTTTACATAAACCTCTATCCTTATTCTATAATATTTTATCATAACATTAGGGGGTTTATATAACATTTACATTCTCTTTATATAAAGATCAGATAAAAAATTCTTCAAAGATTGTTTTGTTTGGTAAAATATTAAAGAAAGAATCTTAAGCCCGCATTCGCAGAAATTGCTTGGACACTAACTTTAGTGTCTGTAGGCTTAAACTTGCAGCACTAACTTACTTTCCAGATAACTTCTTGTTGTAGGGCAAATGCAGGTAATAATGAAGCTTTCCTGTTGCTTCCTCCATCTTGTGATGTTGAGTTGCTATGACGTCAGTTTTATTGTATTGGGGTATTCAGAGGTTCTATTAAATACTGTGAAATGGTAGGTTAGATGAGTATACAGAGAAAATCGAAGCAGATTGTTGCTTGGATGTATCCTTAATAGTATATCCTCCTTCAAGGGTTAAAACTGTACATTTAAAAAAAAGAAAAAAAATGAAATCCCTTGTGGAAAGAACCCTTGTGATAACTGCAGTCATTCGTAGTTAATTAACATAGCATT